TGTCCCTGTGTCTTTCACTCAATTCAAGGAGCAATTCCTGTCCCTGTGCTGCTCCAGTCTGATCGTGCAGTTCACAACTGCTCAGCCTTGCTACAGCCCTGCCAGGCCAGGAGCAGCCCCATGAGCTCCTGGGGGGCTGTCTGGCACCTCTTTTCCCCTCACAGGCTGGGCAGATTGCTCATCATGCTGGAGTTGCTGGACAGAGGCGCCCTGGGCCGAGCGCTCTGGGCCGTGGGGCCTCGGAAGCTGTCCCGGCAGCGCAGGGAGCTCTCTGTGGAGGAACCAGAGTTGATGTCCGAGATGGCCACGCAGCTGCCAGGCCTGCAGAGCCCAGCCCTGACACAGCAGCAGCACAGCAGGCTGCCCACGGCCCGGCGAACCTCCACGCTGCGCAGCGAGTAAATGACGGGGTTGACCCCCGAGTTGAGCAGCGCCAGAGCCAGGGTCCAGTCCAGGCTGCGCAGGTGGTTGCAGGCCCCGGTGTCACAGAACACATCCAAGAGCAGCAGCACAAAGAGAGGGCTCCAGCACACGATGAAAGCCCCCAGGATCATCAGCACCGTCTTCAGCAAGCGCAGCGAGCGCCGGCGGCCATTCCGCGAGCAGCTTTGCCTGGAGCTGGCCTGCACCAGGAGGAAGATGGAGATGTAGAGCCCGATGATCCCCAGGAGGATCACACTGAACATCACCACGGAAAACAGGATATAATTCTTGGAGTAGAGCGGCAGGAGCACGGAGCAGGCCTGGAAATCACAGAGACAGTTCCACCCCAGCATGGGGAGCAGGCCGATGGCGAGGGCCAGCAGCCAGCAGGCCGCGATGAGGCCGCGCAGCCGCAGCGTCTTGCTGGCCTCGCTCTCCGCGATGGGCCTCACCATGGCGCCGTAGCGCTCCACCGCCGTCACCAGCAGGCTGAAGGTGGAGGCCGCCAAAGCCACGAAGAGGATGCCCTCCCTGAGGAACCAGAGCTGAGGGGACAGCTGGAAGGTCTTGCTGCCCGACAGGCAGAGGTTGCAGAGGTAGGCGATGCCCGCCAGGAGGTCGCTGAGGGTGATGCTGGCGATGCAGGAGTAGACCCAGCGGCGGCCCCGCAGGCAGCGCAGCACGGCCAGCAGCACCAGCAGGTTCTCCACGATGATGAGGCAGCTGATGACGGCGAAGGCCGTGCGCAGAGGCCCCATGCCCTCGTCGGCGGAGTGGCGCTTGCTGAGCTTGCCCGTGAAGTTGTAGTGCTGCAGGATGATGTTGATGTTCCCGGCGGCAGCCAGCTGCAGGCAGGAGGCTTTGGGGGTGTGCAGGTGAGCAGAGTCCAGGGGAAGGTGGAGGGAGCGATTCACCAGCCAGTCCAGCACTGGAGCAGCCATCTTCTGAGCCTGGGTCTGCACTCAGGGGGTGCTCGATGGAGGAAGGGTCAGGTGAGGCTTGGAGCAGAGCAGATGCTCTGTTTGAGGGCTGCAGCCAGCCCTGCTCAGCAGAGGGGAGAGTCAGAGCTTTGTCTGCCAGCCCTGCAGCACTGAAAGAGCAAGGGGAGAGGAGGGTGAGGTGTTTTGTAAGTCCACCCATGAGCATGGGCTTCCTGTTGTTTAATAAAGTTTCCTGTTGTGACTGCCACTATTGACATCTCTTCTAACAACTGTCATCATTTCTTGGTAAGGGTCTGGTTATTCTGAGCTTTGCTGTGGTTGTGAAGGTGTGACATGGGTGAAGAAACGTGCCAGGGTTGGAGCAGGCTGTGTCAAACAGGGACAACGCCTTGATGGGTGGGGTCTGGGAGCCAGAACAGATCCCAGTGCTGGTAAGAGCGCCCAGACAGCTCAAGACACAAAATGCTTTGCTTGCAGAGCCTGGCAGAGAGCCACTGCCTGTTCCTCAGCTGCCCTGTGCTCAGATCATCCCTCTTCCCCCTTCAGGAGGAAGATCCATGCTGTCACTCCCTGTGCCCAGCTCCTGCCACACTCTCAGAACACATCCAGCCCTGTCTGTGCAGCTCCTGGCACCTGTGGGGCTGCAGCTGAGCCTCAGCCCCTCCACTCCAAAGCAATCCAGCTGCTCCAAGCTGAGCACGTGCCCTGACACTGCAGCTACACCTTCAACTCACCAAGCACCTGCTAGAGATGGGTCAGGATCCTCCCACAGGCAGGGAAGGAGGCAAAAAGCTGCTGCTTCCCACCTTTGAGGTGCTGAGACCAGAACCAAGGAACCATAGCATGGCTGAAATGTTCATTTCCAGCATTGGCCTAATTCCTTATTGTTTGCAAAACTCAACAGGAGAGCCTTGGAACGTGCTATTCCCAACTGTGGATGTGAATTTGCCCTTGCACTCACCTGCCATGGCTTGTGGGAGGCTCTTGCTGTCCCAAGGAGGTTCAGCAATGCTCTCCAGCTCCTTGCCTGAGGCCCAGCACGGTGCAGGTAGTGGGGACAGCTCCTCGTGCAAAACAAGTGAGGCTTCTACCTACCAAAATGAAAAAAGGGGAAGTTACACCATCAACCACATTTCTGTGCTGGGTGGACCCCACCCAAATCAGCTGCAGAGTGGCAGAGATGAAAGAAAAGCAGAGCACCCTTTAAATCAGGGTCTCAGAGTCCTTGGGCTCTCACTCCAGACTGCCAGGGAGCCATGGAAATGTCACCAAGATGAGAGAAAAGAGCGGGAGCTGTCCAGGGAGCCCTTGGACTGATCCCAGCCTGGATGGCAGCACAGACAACTGGAAACTGCAAAGGTGGCTCCTGCAGAATGCCACGTGCAAGCAAGAGTGGTTCTCATCAAAAGCTGAGGGCTCCATCCTCCACCCTCACCCTTTCAGCTGAGGCTTTGGCCTTTCCTATCAGCAGAGTGGAAAGAAAGTCACACTGATAAGGTCAGCAGATGACCCCAGATTGAAGGAGAGGAAATCAGCAGGAAGGCCGAGCCACGAGTGCAGGGCTGCACGTTCAGCACCAGGAGATTGCCCCCAAATTCCGCCCAAATCTGGAATCCAAAGGGTCAGTGAGACCCTGGCACATCACCCCTGAGAGCTTTGCTTTTTCCTCAGGGGGAACCTCCAGCTCATGGGTCTGTTCAGGACAGAGCTGGTGGAATGTGGGAAGTGGATTTGTAGGGAGTTTTTAGGGTTTGGTTTTGGGAAATGGGCTTGTAGAGAGTTTTTAGGGCTTGATAGAAAGTTCTGCATCTCTGGGTCTGGATCTGGGTAATCTCTGGGTCAGGAAAAGGGTATTGTCCAACAGTGGAATGTTCCTGGGGCTCTAAGTAGCTTCTCCAAGGGCTGGCAATGTTTGAGTCTCAGGGATTCCTGAGAGATCTGTGGAGAGGATGGGACTGGGGCAGACAAACCCTTCTGCCCGTGGCAGATGAGCTGCTGGGACAGCTTGACCCCCTCACTCTTCTCTGGACCAGCAAAACATGGAAGGATCTTCCTAAAAAATGCCCCTTCCACAAACACATCCATGACTGGGGGCTGATGGGGTCTGAGCCCCCACATGAAGAAGAATTCCTGCTCTGTCTCATCCCCATTGCTCTCTGCAGCCACAGCCTGAGCTGGATCTTGGCCCTTCTCCCCTGCTGCCATCCCAGTTCAGATGTTCTTTCTTTGAAGCCAAGTGGGGCAGGGGAGGGACACCCCCTCCTGCAACATTTCTCATCTTTTCCCTTCAAATCAGAGCCAGAATCTGCCTGAAACTGCTTGACACTGTCAGAAACTGCCTGAAACTGTCTGGTGGCTCCTTGTGCTGGGCTGGGAAGGGTCAGGGGACACACAGGGGACACCTGAATCCCTGTGGATCTCTCCAGCTCCATGCCTAAAGCAGGTATTGATGGATGAGGCACCTCAGCATCCCTGACACCCTCCAGAGGACAACAGGAAGGCCAAAACACCTTGGCCTCAGAGAGAGGAACTTGTCTGCACTCAGGGAAGAGCAGGAGAGCAGCTCAGCTCCCTGTGCCCATGGCCTGTCCCCCCTGTCCTGGGGCTGCTGCTCCCAGGAAAGTTTCCACCCACAGATTGTGGGGCAGCCACAAGTAACTGCAGGGCAAAAAGAGCAAATTACAAACACAAGATAAAATATCGATGATTCCTCTTGAGGTTTTCCTGCTGTGCTGCTGCACAGTCCTGATTAAAGCTCTTGCTTTCAGATATTAAGATTTAAAATAAGAAACCATGGGTTCAGCTCTGTGGAGAGCTCAGTGTCAGGCTGCACGGCCCCAGCACAGCCCAAGGCATCCACTTGCAGGTGTTTTTGTGCTCCAGGAAGGGTGGAGCAGATTTGGTTTAAAAATGACTGAGCACTCAGTCCTGGCAGTTGGGTGGTTGCACTTCCCCGCTTTGGTCTCTTCTGCTGCACAGAGCATTTCCCACATCCCAGTCCCCAATCTTCTGCCCCCAGAGGAGCCAAGAAGAGCCAGGAAAGCCCCTCTGACCTGGGCTGACCCAAACTCTGCAGATTTGACTTTTCACAGTGCTCAAAACCAGCTGAGCTGTTTGCCCTTTCATTTAAATTGGTGATGGTGAATCTCTGTAGGAAAAGAGGCTCTGCAGAGCATTTCTCAAAGGAAAACAAGAATATGAAAGAGCAAATTTCAGGATTGTCTCCTCAGGACCACATTCACAACTTTAAATGGCCAAGTTTTTCTGATGATTTTTTAAAGTGACTTTTTTCTAGAACCTTACATTTCCTCAGGGCAAAACACATTAAAGAGAAAGTGTGGGAGAATTATGAAATCACACCTCAAAACCACCTCTAATCTTGCTTCCAGCACCCCCTGAGGCTGTGACTGTGCTGTGCCAGGCTCTATCTGCCCTGGCATTTCCACCCTGGGCTATATCACCCATCAGTGCCAGTCAGGGGGACGTGGGCACCGAGCTGGCCAGGCCAGAGATGCCCTGATTAACCCAATCAGCCCTTTGCACATGGTTTCCTGGCTGCTGGGCACAGCTGCCTGCAGGCTATAAAAGCAGCTCCTGGCCAGGGGCAAACTCAGGATTGCACCCAAGTGGGCAAAGATGTGCCAGCTTTGGACAATGCCAGCCCTGCTGCTGCTGCTGCTCTGCTGCCCATGGGCCAGTGCCAGTGAGTCAGGGCTGTGCTTTGGGGCTGCTTTGGGGGTCTCAGAAGCCCCTGGCTCATGCTAGGCTGGGTTTCTTTTGCAGGTGCTCTGCGGGGTGAGATTGTGGGGGGCCACGAGGCACGGCCCCACTCGCACCCCTACATGGCATACCTGAAGATAGTAGAGCATGGGTACTGTGGGGGCTTCCTGGTGGCCCCTGACTGGGTGATGTCAGCTGCACACTGCCTGGGGTGAGTATTGATACAGGGGTTTTATCCCTTTTTTTCTCCCCTAGTCTTCCCTGGAGTGATTTTGGAGCAGGTCCCTCCCGTGCTGGGCAGCTCTCTGCACCTGCTTGTAAAATGAGTTATATCAAATGAGGGAGGGAGGGGGTGACACCCAGCCTGATTTCCCCTTTCCCCAGCCTGATTTCCCCTTTCTCCCTCCTTCTGCCATGGCCAGGAACACCACAGTCATCCTGGGGGCTCACGACATCTTCGAACCAGAAAAATCCCAGCAGGTCCGAGGAGTGCTCAAGTACTACGAGCACCCTGAGTACAACCCCATCAGCCAGGCCAACGACATCATGCTGCTGCAGGCAAGGAGTTCTGAGGGTGCAGAGGGGTTGGGGGGCCACCAGGGGCTGGGTAGAGCTTGTCCTGGTTGGGGGCTCCTTCCCCAAAGCTGCTCCTGCCCCAGGTGCTGGAGACTGGGAGGGATCTGGGAAGGAGCCATGGGCAGGGGTTGGAGCCTCGTGTGGCTCTCACAGCAGCTGGCAGAGCCTGCTGGACCCTGCCTACCTCTGCAGAGCAAATATCCTGCTCACAGCCCTCTCTGAACCCCCTCTAGCTGACATCAAAGGCCACTCTCAATGAATACGTGCAGCCCATCCCTCTGCCCAGGACTGGCAGCGACCTCCCCACGGGCACCAAGTGCATGATTGCAGGCTGGGGTCTGATCGACGAGGACAGGATCACCAGCAAGCTCTTTGAGACCCAGGTGTCCATCTACAGCCGCAGGAAATGCAGCCTCTTCTACCCACACCTGAATTCTGGCATGATCTGTGCAGGCAGCTTCCACCAGCTGAGGGATTCCAGCCAGGTAAGGGAGGCCACAGGGGCTGTTCTGGGAGCTGGGGCAGCTCCCAGGGCAGGTGACAAGTGTTTGAGCACAAGGTTTGGCTCTCTGGGTGTGCTGGCACCAGCCACAGGGGTAGAGCTCAGCCCAGTTGGGAAATGGGGCAGGAATGGAGCCCCAGGGCAGGGAGGGAGCAAATCTGTTACCACAGGCAAGAAAAAAAAAATCTGTTGTCTCTAAAATGAACTTTATCTCTCCCCAGGGAGATTCTGGTGGGCCCCTGGTGTGCAATAAGGTGGCACAAGGAGTTGTTTCCTTTGGCCATGATTCCCCACCCGGGGTCTACGCCCGCATCTCCAACTACCTGCCCTGGATCAGGAAAGTCATGAATAAGTAATGGCAGTCAGTGGGAGCATTTCTCCAGCTCTGCTGTGCCCTGGACACTGCAAATCTTCCTTCCTGCCCCTGCTGAAGGCTCAAATCCCTTCTGTCTCCTCAGGAACCCAAATGACTTGGTCAGGGCACCTGAGTGCCCTTCACTGGGTTCTGGGGCTGCTGTCTGTCCCTGCCTGCTGTCTGTCCGCCCTGGCAGGGGCAGAGATGGCCCCAGATGGCACAAAAGGAGGCTGTGCCACAAGAAACCCCACTTCCTTCAGAGATAACCCTGTTCCTGCTTGAACCCTGCTTGCACTTCGAGTAAACTCAAAGCTGCCCCTCCCAGCGTGTGTCGTGTGTTTTTTGTGGCCTTGCCACGGAGAGAAATGTTTAAATCGCATGTTTAATGTTTAAATGTTTAAATCACATGTTTAATGTTTAAATCACATTTAACAGGAGGGAGGCTCTGGCTGCTGCACCTGAGAGGTGCAGAAATCACAGCTCTGCATCCTCAGTCTGTGGCAGAATCAGAAATAAGAGCTAGACTTGCCCTTCTTGGGGTGATGAGTATGGGAATGTGCCTCCTATTGATGGAGTGATAAAACTCTCTTTTGTCCCCTCAAAAAGGAAAGAAGCCCAGAAATTTCTCTTTTCCATTAGGTGAAAAATCCACCTCATAGACCCTGGGGAATTTCACCTCAAATTTAATGATTGCTAATTAGACAGAAGCCAAAAAATCCTGCCTGGGCAATTTACTAGAAAAAGAAGAGAACTAAGAAACTAAAACTAATCACTTTTGTGAGGTGTTTTACCAGGAGCAAGAACCTCTTGCACCTAGCTCAGTTTTCCTCTGTTTGTTATTTTGCCTTTTATTAAATCTTTTTTTTTCCAACACTGCCACAGCAGCCATCCTGCTGATTTTATGCCCCCAAAAGGAGCTGAGCTATCATGGGTGAGTAACAGACCTGCAAGAACTTGTGAGACCTGACTTGAAGAAGCTGCAATTACTGATGGGGAGTAAAACTGCCCAGGTAGGAATGGGCAGAATGATGGGCACAGATCCCTTCACCAACTCCAGTGTGGTGCCACCCTCCTGGGAGCACAGGTAGCAGGGATGTGGGCACCAGCAGTGCCCAGGGCTCTGAGGGCTCCATCTCTGCTCCCTCTGAGCACCCCAGGGCACAGAGCAGCTGCACAGCAAAGTCACAGGGCACTTTTGGGTTTTCTGTGGTTGAGACGACCCCTGAGGTATTAAAAGTCTTTTTTCCCAGCCCTGTGACCAAAGAAGAAGTTGAGATTCCTCAGTTCTGCTTCTCAAAGTTGTTTATTTTCTCTTATCTATTCCATTCTTTCTCTGAGATCTGTCCAGCAGGTTGGGTTGAGACACAGTGCCTGTCCTTGGGGGTGGTGTTAGCTTTTTATACTAAAAACTGTGTGTACTTCATTTACAATAATTTTCCAATACCTATCACCTATGTTAGACAGTCTGCCTCTACTCTAAACCAATTCAGAAGTGCCACCATCCCAGCAGAAGATGAAGGACAAGAAGAAGGAGAAGAAGGACAGGACACACCCAGATTCCTCCATCTTGCCTCCTGAACCCTCAATCTAAATCCCCAAAATTCTGCTTTTTCACCCTGTGACAAATTAACCATCATTCTACTCAAACTCTTATGGCTTGTAAATCCTCACACAAAGTTGGTAATTGTTTCCATGGGCTAAAATGGAAGGCACAGGTGGTTTTGACCCTATGCCAAGGACTTAAATCACCCAGGGCAGCCAGAGGAATGTCCTGGTCCTGACAGGGCACAGCAGGCTGATCTCTCTGAGCTGCAAGAGGCTCCACTGGATTTTCTGTGTTCTGAGCCCTTGGGTGTGGGCAGTGCCTGGTAAAACACCAGGTCAGTGCTTTAGGATCCCAGAGAGGAGGCACATCCCAAATCCCAGCTGTCACACACTCACTGCTCCCAGGCTCTGCAGCCACAAACCATCAATTTCTGGGGGTAGAAGCACAGAAAGGCTTGAACTGAAAGGGTTTTGAAGGACCAGGGTTCACAGAAGTGCCTGACCCCAAAGCCACATCCTCCTCTCCTCCCTGCAGGGCCCTGGGGAGGGCAGGGACCAGTCCTGGCTGGCGCTGGGCACATCCCTGTCCCCTGGTAACCCAAACCTCTCCCTGCAGCTTTGGGTGATGCCCAAAGATGAGTTCTACCCTCAAAGGATGCTCAAGGCTCTTCTCAGACATTGGAGCATTGGAGTCTGAATTTCCTCCCATCTCCTTCTTTCCAGCTCCTTTCTGGTGGTTTCTCTTGAGTACCCGGAGAGCCAAGAGTTCCCAGGGGGAGGTGATGGAGACAGAGGTTAAATGAAGTTGTTTTATCTAAAATTAGTCACCAATCTTTATTCAATATGTTACTAAAATTATAAAATACAATTCGACAACACACTCAATCATATTTTAAAGTATGTATTCAAATCGCACTTCTCTTCCAATATTTTTCACTAAAAAGAATGCTATAACTAGTAGTCTCATTGCCAACATTACCTTAACAATTCCTCACCACAAACAACAATCTCATCAATTTTACCATTAAAATATTCAAACTTTACAACAACAATTTAACCTTAATAACAATAATACTCATTCAACTATTATTACATACCCTAAAAAAAAGTTCCACAATTAGAATTTTTCACCAAAAAAATGCTATAACTAATACTCTCATTGCCAACATTATACCATTAAAATATTCAAACTTTACAAGAACAATTTTACCTTAATAACAATAATACTCATTCAATTATTACTACATAGCCTAAAAAAAGTTCCACAATTAGAATTTTTCACAAAAAAAATTTAACTTTATAACCAATACTCTCATTGCCAACATTACCTTAACTATTCCTCACCACAAGCAACAATCTCATCAATTTTGCCATTAAAATATTCAAACTTACAACAACAATTTAACCTTAATAACAATAATGCTTGTTCGATTATTACAACATACCCTAAAAAAAAAAATCCACAATTAGCATTCCACTAATTAGCTCTGATGAATGAGTGGGTGCAGAAGTCCCTGGCAGGGGTGAGGATGTTCTGTGATGTCAGGGGGAGACTTTGTGAGTTGGTTTGTGGTGGCAAAAACCAGTGGGGAATTTTAAATGTACAAAAACATTCTGCAGTGCAGGGGAAAGGGTGCCTGCCCTGCTCTCAGGGCCTTTCCCACTGTTCAGGACGAGGTTCCCCCAGCCCAGTTTGGATTTCTGCTCACAAATCCTCCAAATTCTTGCCTGGGATGGAGGGAAACTGAGTCAGCTGTGCCTCCAGCAGAAGGGTCCATGTTTGGGCTGCTGCTCAGAGCTGCTATCGGCTCACAAATCTGCAAGTGAACAGGCTGCAGCTGCTTATCTGTGCTGCATGAATCTCTGTCACGTCAGGGTTTTCCTTGAAGCTCCAGCTGCTGCAGGCTTTGCACGAGAATGGCAGCTTGTAAATTCAAACTGGGGTTTGCCCACTTGGCACAGGAGGCAGAGGGGGAAACTGATTTACTGGCAGTGAGGGCAGCGAGGAAACATCAGCCCTGCTTTGTCACAGGTGAGATGGGGATGCTCAGGGTTGGATTTTTCTGGAAAATCCCAGAATTTGGGCTGGAAGGGACCTTAGGGATCATGTCATTCCATCCCTGGGCACTTTCACCATCCCAGGCTGCTCCAATCTCATCCAGCCTGGCCTTGGGCACTGCCAGGGATCCAGGGGCAGCCCCAGCTGCTCTGGGAATTCTGAATTCCATCCCAGGGAAGGATTTCTTCCCAGTGTCATCAGAACCATGTTACAAACACATTCATGGCAATTTTCCTCCATTAGCCAAGAGTGTAGTTCCTGAGGGAGAGCAGGAGGGTCCTCACCTGCCATTCACAGCCTTAGTGATGCCTCAGGTTTGAGTTTTTCTATTTTTCAGGTTCTGTGCTGCTTTACTGTGTATTTTATTTACACAGGGTAAATAAGGTACACACTAAAGTGTACTTTAGTTTGTGTGTGGGTCTGGGTTTCACATGAGGGGATGGTGAGCTCAGAGCAGGGAGAAAAAACAATTCCTGCTCCAGCTGGGGACCAAGGACAAATGATCCAAATCTCAGCCCCAAGAGCACAAACAACAGAGAAAAACAAGCAGGATGGGACTGCATGGGCTGGAGCTGGAATTGGACAATTAACTCCAATATAAAAATGGAGCAGAACTTGTAAAAGTGAGAGACCCCATGACGTGTTGTCCATTTTTGTGACTTTTTGGGTTTTATCTTGGGTGCAGCCCTGCATGGGCTGGGGCTGCAGTTGGACAATGAACTGCAAGATGCAAATGGGGCAGAATTTATAAAAATGTGACACCCCATGATCTGTTGTCCATTTTTGTGACCATTTTGGTTCATCTTGGGTTCATTTTGTGACCATTTTGTTCACCTTGTGTTCATTTTGTGACCATTTTGGTTCATCTTGGGTTCATTTTGTGACCATTTTGTTCACCTTGTGTTCATTTTGTGACCATTTTGGTTCATCTTGGGTTCATTTTGTGACCCTTTTGGTCCATCTTGGGTTCATTTTGTGACTGTTTTGGTTCATCTCGGGCTCAGGCCTGGCTGGGCCCTTGTGCTGCCCAAGGTGGATCCATTGAGGCCTCCTAATAAATAAATTAATTAATTAACTCTGTCTGGTTTCACAAGGCATCATTAGAACCGATGGAAGTGATGCATCAGGTGAAATAAATCATGTTCATGTGGGGCTCCTGATAAAAATCAAGAGGCTTTCCAAGAAGAGAAGCTGCAAAGGAAGAGCTCACTGGAAGTCAAAGAGGTGAGGGTGGCTGCATTGCCCACAGCTTCCAGAAAAAACACAACGCTCTAAAATTGGCTTTAGAAGGACGTCAGATCCCTCAGATCAGCCCATGATGGAGGTGGGCTGGTGCCCAAAGCCAGAACTGACTGAATTCCCCTCTCGCACTGCTGAGACATGCAACTTGTGCAGAG